GCGCACCGCGGATACCCCCGGAGGTGTGGCGTTTCCTCGGCCTTGGCGTCCCCACTTCTGTCAAACGTCCTGCGGCTATCGGCTGGCCTCCTCCCCTCCATCCTGGTGCCTACAGGTCCTGCGGCTATCGGCCGCTACCCCCTTTTTCCTCGTCGTCACAGCTGCGCGCAAATCCAGCGGCTATCGGCTGCTACCCACCTTTGCCTCGTCGCCACAGCACGGTGCCTGAGAGACGCGGCAATCACGGGCCCCGCCTCGCGCAGGCAGTGTCGGTTGGGGCTGGCCCCAGAGCCGAAGGTTTACCACTGGGCGGTCACGTTCCTGACGGCACACCCAGTGATGGGGTTCGTTTCGCCGCAGTGGCAGGCCGCAGCCTCGGTTCCCGTGCTACCTCCTGGGAGTGAGGTACACCCCCACGCTGCGCTAGACACCCACGGCCCCCGTGGGCTCGTAGCCCGTGCGGTCGGCTGAAATGATCCCACCCGCGGTTTTGGTCGCGTTGCCGGCCCGTGGAGGACCTGGTCGACTCGCTGAAGGCGTCTCCCCGTCTGTCCACGCCTGCAGTGGGTGGCTCTGGCCACGGGCTTGTGCCACCTCCAGGGTCCGAGGGGCACTACGCTGCGCCTAGATGCCCGCGGCGCCCCGTGGGTTCCTGCCCCTGCGGTAGGCGGAATAACCCCACCCAGGTTTTTTTCCCGCGTTGAGTGCGGGACGTGGTGCAGAGGCAACTGGCTGCAGGCCCCTCCTCGTGCTTCCACCCTGGTAGTTTGCCCGCGCTGAGTGCGGGCCGTGGTGCAGGGGCTGCTGGCTGTGGCCCCTCCTCGTGCTCCGCCATTTGAAGTCCAGCTGTGTGCTAAGTGGCTTCCCCCCGTCGTCGCCGTTGGGAGTGTTCATCACTGCGTTAGACCCCCACAGCCTCGTGGGCTTGTAGCCCGCGCGGTCGGCTGAGATAATCCCACCCGCGATTTTTGGCCGCGTTGCCGGCCCGCGGAGGACCGGGTCGACTGGCTGAAGGCGTCGCCCCATCTGTCCCTGCATGCAGTGGATGGCTTTGGCCACGGATTTGTGCCACCTCCTGGGTTCGAGGGGCACTACTCTGCGCATTGGTGCCCGCGGCATCCCGTGGGTTCCTGCGCCTGCGGTCGGCTGAAATAACCCCACCCAGGCCTTTGCCCGTGTGAGTGCGGGCCGTGGTGCAGAGGCAACTGGCTGAAGGCCTCTCCTCGTGCTTCACCAGTTGAAGTCTAGCTGTGTGCCAAGTGGCCCTCCCCGTCGTCGATATTGGGAGTGATCGTCATTCTCGATGACGTATACGCGCTGGGTGCCACGTGAATGAGTCCGCCGCGCTCTCAGCCTAGTGTGCTCCGTTCCGCCCCCAATTTTTTGTGCTGCGCCCCTTGTGGCTGCTTGGGTGCAGGCTCAGCGTCCGTTACTGCCTTGTTTGCGTGTGCGGTGCCTCCTGGTGCCCGTGGCCCGCTGGCATCTGCCCAGTGGTCCTGCTCTCTTTCTTCCGGCCACCGGTCAGGTTTCCCCACCTGCGGGTCTGGCTTGTGTTCGTTTGTTGTCCACCTGTGGCAGCTTCTCTTCCGCTGGCATCCGCCCAGTGGTTTTGCATGGTAACCTTCTGGCATTGCGCCCCATTGCCTCATACCCCCTCTGGACTTTTCCTCGCGGGCCGCAAATCAAAAAAAATATGCCCACCAGCCCATCCAGAAACGATGCCCAGGGGAGTTGAGCTGATCAGGGAAGTCGAGGAGCATGAAGAAGAACAAAGGGCGGGAGAAGCTGTCACGCACCCCAAGAGGGGGGATGGAGAAGGAATCCTCGTTGGATGGGGGGGGGGAGGAAGAGGGGGGGGAGGAGGAGGAGGGGGATAATGAGTAGGAGGATGTGGAATAGGGAGAGGACGAGGAGGACGAGAAGGAGGAGAAGGAGCAGAGGGAGGAAAAGGAGGAGAAGGAGGAGGAGGAGGAAGAGGGGGATGAGAAATTGAAGAGGACGGCGAACCGAAGAGCCAGAAGCGTCTTAAATGCATTTCGGAGATCTTCTTGAGGCTTCTTGGGGGTCTCTTGGGAGCCTCTTGGAGGCCTCTTGGGCGCCTCTTGGGGCCGTCTGGGCGCCTCTTGGGGCGCTCTTGGGGCGCTTTTGGGGGCTGTAGGGGCGCTCTTGGGGCCATCTTGGAGGAGATCGATCAACGAAGGGGGGTTCCCTAATTTGCCTCCCCCCTCAGGAACTCCAAGCATCGCCTTCGGGGGCGCTCTTGGGGCGCTCTTGGAGCGCTCTTGGGGCTCTTGGGGCCGTCTTGGGGCTCTCTTGGGCCTCTCGTGGGGCCCTCTTGGGCCATCTTGGAGCCATCTTGAGGCCTTGGATGGCCATCGGAAGCGAAACGGGGAGAAAGCAAAGCACACTGATTTTCCCAAGGTTTTGGGACGATTTTGGCCTCTTCGGGGCCTCCTTGGGGAGCTCTTTGGCCAGTTGGAGCCGTCTTGGGGCCGTCTTTGGGCCTCTTGGAACCATCTTAGGAACCATCTCGAGCGATCTTGCGCTATCTTGAGCCATCTTGGAGCTCACCTTGGGCTCTCCGACGCGCTCTTGAAGCCATCTTGGGGCCAAAAGAGCCGTCCGACCGTTCGGGGAACCCTCCGTCCAGGTCCAGGGGAGGGGGTAGGGGGAGGGGTAAACCCTTCCCCAAGGGGGAAGAGGGAGGGGTGGAAGAGGATGTGTTCTAGACCACCTACGCCCAGAGGGCTGGTGGGATTATTGAGGATGCCTCGAGCGAAAAGTTGGTTTTGTGTTAAACATTGTTTCTCTCCTGGGGACCAGAATTCAGATGATGTCTCAGGTGAAAGGCTTGTCTTACGTATGTTCTGTATTCGGATCTGTATTCGGGGAGCGCTTTTCGCTTCCCCCCGTCCCCAGGAGGCCCTGGGAGGATCGAGAAGCGTGAAAACACATGGTGGTTCCTAACGCCCCAGGGCGGGAGAAGCGGGAAAACACATGGTTCCCAACGCCCCATGGCGGGACAAGCGTGACAACAGATGGGTTCCTAACGCCCCAGGGCGGGAGGAACGCGACAACACATGGGTTCCTGAAACCCCAAGGCGGGACATGTGTGACAACGCAATTTCTAACGCCCCAGGCCTGGAGAAACTTAAGAACAAACAGGTTCCTAACGCCCCGGGAAGGCCAGGAGGCTCCAGGATGCTTCACGAGGCCCCAGGAGGCATGTTCCGTACTGGGACTTGTGTTCGGGGGGCATTTTTGTGTCTGTATTGGGATACGTGTTCGGGGAACGCTTTGTGCTGCCCCCCGCCGCCCAGGAGGCCCCTGGGGGCTCGAGAAGCGCGAAAACACATGGTTCCTAACGCCCCAGGGCGGGAGAAGCGCGAAAACACATGGGTTCCTAACGCCCCAGGGCGGGACAAGTGTGACAACACATGGTTCCTAATGCCCCAGGGCGGGAGAAGCGCGAAAACACATGGGTTCCTAACGCCCCAGGGCGGGATATTCGTGAAAACACATGGTTCCTAATTCCCCAGGGCGGGATATACGTGAAAACACATCGTTCCTAATTCCCCAGGGCGGGGCAAGCTTAAGATCCAGATCAGTTCGGTCAGGACTCGTATGCAAAGGAGGACTCGATCCACGACACTCTGAGCACAACCGCGGCATGGCACGTCGCAGTTCAGCACGGCGCAGCACAGCACAGCCCTTGGCACGGTACATCAAGATCGATGCACTCAGCATCGCAACCTGGCACGTTCCCTGGCACGTTCTGTGGCGCGTCCCGTGGCGAGTCCCTCTGGCACGTCGCTCGGCGCGTCCCCTGGCACGTCCCGTGGCACGTCCATGGGCACGTTCCGTAGCGCGTCCCTTTGGCACGGCCCGCGGTGCGTCCCCATGGCACGTCCCCTGGCACGTCGCCTGGCGCGTTCCTTGGGACGTTCCGCGGCGCGTCCTCCTGGCATGTCCTGTCAATTAGCTCTGGGGCAGCTACTATGCTCTCAGGCAGCTCGAGCTTAAGTTCCGGATCAGTTCGGTCAGGACTCGGATGCAAAGGAGGACTCGATCCGCAACGCTTTGATCACAATCTCGGCATGGCACATCGCAATTCAGCACGGTGCAGCACAGCCCTGCCCTCGGCACGGTACGTCAAGATCGATGCACTCAGCATCAGCATCGCATTTGCCTCCCTCCTCCTCCTCCTCACTCCTCCTCCTCCTCCTCCTCTCTCCTCCTCCTCCTCCTCCTCCTCCTCCTCCTCCTCCTCCTCCTCCTCCCCTCCTCCTCCTCCTCCTCCTCCTCCTCCTCCTCCTCCTCCTCCTCCTCCTCCTCCTCCTCCTCGGGGCCCCCACCACCTCGGCGGGGGCTAGGCCCCCAGCAACGTGGGGGCTCTGCCGCAGCTCCCGGGCCCGGAACACCTTGCGCGGGGGCCCCCTTCCCGAGGCCGGAGAGGCCCGGGAGGGGGGCAGGGGCAGAGGGCTGGACACGACGGCGCTGAGCAGGCCCTCGTCGCCGCAACCGGACTCGGCCCCGCTGCGCCTCCACGGCGCCGCGTGCGCGGAGCCAGCTGTCAGCTGCCAGGTGCCCTCTCGGCTCAACGGCCGCTGGGCGGAGCCCGGGCCTGCGGGCGGCGCTGGCCTCGGCGGCCATGGCCCGATGCCGCGCGCTGGCCTGCTCGCTCGCGCTGCTCGGGCCTGCGCGCGGCGGGGCCGAGAGCGCGGTCCTCCGCCCGCCCGGGCTGCTCGGCGCGGGCCCGCCGTGGCAGCCGGCGCCAGCGGCCCGCCCCGCCGCGCCGCTGGGCGCTGGGCCGCGGCCAGCTGGGCCTCCCAGGTGGGGCCCGCGCCCGTGGGGTCCGAGGAGCGCGCCGCACCGCCGATGCAGCGCCGGTGCGCCTCGATGCGGAGCTCTATGCTCTCCGCGCCGATGCATCGGCGATGCAGCGGCCATGCGGCGCGATCCTGCGATCCGGTCAGCTCGGGCCCCATGGGGGAAGCCTCCAGGCCAGGGGCGCCTGGGGGCGCCTTTGCGGAGGGGGCGCGTGCGGCGCGCGAGGGCGGCAGCGCCAGCGCGCGGGCGCGCCCGCCCGAGGAGCACAAGCCGCTGCTGCCGCTGGACGCCCGCGACGCGGTGGCCGTCCTCCTCGCCGCGTGCGCCCTGTCGGTGGCAGCGGGCGGCGGCATCTTAGAGGACGATGAGCGATATAGAATCAACTTTTACACCGCCTGGACGCTTGCCCCAGTCGGGGGCGTCCAAGAGAGGGTTGATGGCTAGGGGGGGTGGATCTCATGGCTTGGGCCGCGAGACCTCCCGGGATTCCATGGCCCTTCTTCTCGTTTCAATACGTCCCTTGCCCCCCCCCAGGCCGCGCACGTGCCTCGGGCCATGGACTGCGAACTCGACGCCCCCCTCCTGGACCCCCCTGGCCCAGGGCGGCTGGACGGGTTGTGCCCCTGGTATGGCCCGTCGGGGTGTAGGCGCTCCAGCCGCCCTGTGGCAGGCGCCCCTGGCAGCGGAAAGTTTATTATGTACCGCTCTTCGTCCGCTAAGCATCGGGGGCGGGGGCATGCTGGTCCCGCTCTACATCCTGGTGCTGGGGTTCCATCCGCGGCACGCTGTGGCCCTCTCCAACGCCACCATCCTGGGCGGCGCCATCGCGAACACGGTGCTGAACGCCAGCATCACCAGCACAGCTCCCGTGGACTGGGACCTCATACTGATGATGGAGCCAGGCACCATCGGTGCTGCCGTGGTCGGCTCGCTGCTGGCCAAGGTGCTGCCCGCCGGCCTGCTGTCGCTGCTGCTCTCGGCCGTGCTGGTCCTGATGGGCCACAAGACTCTGAGGAGGGGCATCGGCATGTGGCGCACCGAGACCAGAGGCATGACGCAGTGTGCAGCGTCTGGCTCCGCGGCGCCCGAGGTGGAGCTCCGCACCGTCGCAGCCCTCCCGGCGCAGCAGGAGGGCGCATGCGCCGGAGGAGCCCGGGCTCCGGGGGGGCGGCCAGGCACTGGGACGGTGGCCCAGAAAGTGGCGCTCCTGACGCTCTGCTTCCTCGGCACGTGCGCGCTGGCCATGCTCAAGGGAGGCTCCGGCCCCATGGCGTCGCCAGTGGGCGTAGTCTGCGGCTCCCTCGCGTGGTGGCTGCTGCTGGTGGCCGAGATCCCGTGGGTCCTTGCTTTCGCCCTCTATTTCCGGGATCTGTTGGTGGCCGAGTATTCCGATAGGATCGCCAGCGGCCCCAAGTTCTCCCCGGGAGAGTTGGAGTGGGACTCGCGGAACACCATCAGATATCCGCTTGTTGCCAGCGCAGCCGGGCTCGTGGCGGGCATCTTTGGCGTCGGTGGCGGCATCATCAAGGGCCCCCTGATGCTCGAGATGGGCGTCTCCCCAGCCGTCGCCTCGACCTCCTCTGCGGTCATGATCCTCTACACCTCCGCCTCTGCGACGGTCTCCTACGTCGGGCTCGGCCTGCTGCAAGCGGACTACGCCGCCATGCTCTTTGTGCTGGGAGTGGCCTGCACCGTGCTGGGCCAGTTTCTCGCACGGCGGCTGTCCGGTGGCTCCAGGCAGAGCCCGGTGGTGCTCTCCATCGGCGCGGTGCTCCTGGGCTCGGCGTGCGCCGTGGCCGTGTCCGCTCTGGCCGGCATCGTGGCCTCCGGCTCCGCGTACCTGCTGGACGTGGGTGGCGTCTGCCACTGAGCGGTCGGCGCGGTGTCCGCACATCTGTTTCACGCGCTCAATCGTGCGGTCTGCTGTGCCCTTCGACCCGTGCGGCATCGTCACGTCGGACACGTTCGGTCACCCGTCCGCCAGGGCGCCGACGCACGAGGCCACGGCAGTAGCGCCGGGTCCGTCGTTGGGGGAACGAAGGTTGCATGAACATAAAAACTCGGAGCTGCGCGAGGATTTCTCGGATCGGCGCTGGACCCCCTTCCCTGGCGCGCGGAGCGCGCCAGGGGCGGCGCCGGAGGCGCCGCCGGTGGGCCCCAGCGCCCGTCCGAGAAATCCGCGCGGACCTCCGAGTTTTTATGTTCATGCCACTTTTTGTTCCCCCAGTCGTGGCGGCCGCTAGACGCCCTCCCCCTCTCCCAGAAGGCTTCCCTCGCGACCCCGATTGCCTGCGGCTGCGCCGTCGTGGCAAACCGCGTGTCGCCACGCGTGGCTCGGCTCGGGGGCGGAAAAGAGGCGGGTGACGACTAGGGGGGGGGGGTGGATATCGTGGCGGGGGGCATGATATTTTTCCTCAAACTTCATGTCGCCTCTTCTCATTTCAGTACGCCCCTGGCCTCCCCGCGGGGCCGCGCACATGCCGCCAGTCATGAGTTGCACCCCCCCCCCTCTTGGACCTCCTTCTCCTCCTCCTCCTCCTCCTCCTTCTCCTCCTCATGTTCCTCCTCCTCCTCCTCCTCCTGTTCCTCCTCCTCCTCCTCCTCCTGGGCCGCTCCCGAGTGGCCTGCATATGAGGTCTCGCATCGCCCACGGCCCTTTTGGGAGCTGCCCGGGGCAAGTCGGAGCCGGGCCGAGGTCGACAAGCAGGAGCTCGACGAGGCACCGACGCCGAGGTCGGAGGCCGACGCACGAGCTCGAGAGCCGGGGTCGACGCACGAGGACGAGGCACCGACGCCGAGATCGGAGACCGAGAACGAGCTCGAGAGCCGAGGGCGACGCACGAGACCGACGCCGACGTCGGAGGCGGCGTCCCAGGGAAGGTCGAGCCCCGGCGGGGGTGTCGTCCAGGTTGGGGTTCCGCGGCGCTGCTCCAGGGAACTGGCTCATCCCGTCCGTCTCCTCCTCTTCTTGCTCCTCTGGCTCCTCCTCCTCCTTGTCCTCTCCCCCCTTCCCCTTCCCCTGGCTTCTTCTCCTCCCCATCCGGCTCCTCATCTTCCTCCTCTCCCTCCTTCCTGCTCCGTCTCTTCGTCCCGCATCCCGTCTCCGCACGAGTAGCTCCTCCCTGTCGCACCACCAGTCGTGCCGTCAGGGCGGGCTGGGCGTTGCGCCCGAGACATCCTCACCGTGCGCGATCTTGGAGCTGGAGAGGTGCAGCAGTGTCACGGATGGAGAGCGTTTCCTTTTCAAGGTGGGGTTCCTGCAAAGATGTGGTCAAAAAGAGGGCAGCGGTGCCGTGGACGGAGAGCGGCTCCTTGTTGAGCAAAGGGGTCTCGCCGTGGCGCCGCGTACGCGTGTCTCCAGCGTGTCCAGCGGTTGCACGGATGGAGGGCTTCAGCACGGGGCTCTCGCCTACGATCTCTTATGATGTGTGTGTGTGTGTGTGCGTGTGGGCTCCGGCCCAGGGTTCTATCTTAGTTGCTTACCCCCGGAATCGACGGGAAGATGGCCGGCCGAATGTTTTGCGGTAAATAGCGAGGTCGGAAGAGGGCCGGCGGAATTATGTTTGAGGATGTCCTGAGCGGAATTTGCTCAGGATGTCTCGAGCGAAACGTTTGTTTTGTGTTATCTATGGTTCTTCCCCTGGGGACCAGAATTCAGAGGATGTGTCAGGTCAAATGCTTGTTTTCACGTGCCCAGATCTTGAGGATGTCTCGAGCGAGACTCTAGGTTTCACGCGTTCAGGTTGCCCAGGCAGATGTCTAGTATGAGAATGTCTTGAGGAAGTCTCGAGCGAGATGCTTGCTTGCACGTGTTCAGGTTGTCCAGGCGGATGTCTAGCATGAGGATGTGTTGAGGATGTCTTGAGCGAAACGCTTGTTTTCACATGTCCAGGTCGCCCAGGCGGCTGTCAAACATGAAGATGTGTTGAGGATGTGGTGAGCGAGACGTTTGCTTTTACGCGTCCAGGTCGCCCAGGCAGATGTCTAGCATGAGGAGGTGTTGAGAAGGTCTTGAGCGAAACGCTTGTATCCACGTGCCCAGGTCACCCAGGCGGACGTCTAACATGACGATGTGTTGAGGATGTCTCGAGTGGAACACTCGTTTTCACGTGTCCAGTTCGCCCAGCGGATGTCTAGCATGAGGACGTGTTGAGGATGTGTTGAGCGAAACGTTTGTTTTCACGTGTCCATGCCGGCCAGGCGGATGTCTAGAGTGAGGATTTGGGCAGGATGTCTCGAGCGAAGCGCTCGTCCCCAGCACGTTCCGTAGCGCGTCCCCTTGGCATGTCCCGCGGTGCGTCCCCATGGCACGTCCCCTGGCACGCCGCCTAGCGCGTCCGTTGGGACGTTCCGCGTCGCGTCCTCCTGGCGTGTCCCCTTGTCAATTGGCTCTGGGGCAGCTGCTCTGTGCCCAGGCAGCTCGAGCTTAAGATCCAGATCAGTTTGTCAAGACTCGGATGCAACGGATTCGATCCACAACGCTATAGAGCACATTCGCGGCAAAACACATCGCAATTCAGCACAACGCAGCACAGCACAGCCCTCGGCACGGTACATCAAGATCGACACACTCAATATTGCAACCTGGCAGGTTCCTTGGCACGTTCCGTGGCGCGTCCCGTGGCGAGTCCCCCTGGCACGTCGCGCGGCGCGTCCCTTGGCACGTCCCGTGGCACGGCCATCGGCGCGTTCCGTAGCGCGTCCCCTTGGCACGTCCCGCGGAGCGTCCCTATGGCACGTCCCCTGGCACGCCGCCTGGCGCGTCCGTTGGGACGTTCCGCGGCGCGTCCTCCTGGCATGTCCCCCTGTCAATAAGCTCTGAGGCAGCTACTCTGTGCTCAGGCAGCTCGAGCTTGAGATCCAGATCGGTTAGATCAGGACTCGGATGCAAAGGAGGACTCGATCCACAGCGTTATAGAGTACACTCGCGGCATGGCACATCGCAATTCAGCACGGCGCAGCACTGCACAGCCCTCGGCACGGTACATCAATATTGATTCACTCAGCATTGCAACCTGGCGCGTTCTTTGGCACGTTCCGTGGCGCGTCCCGTGGCGAGTCCCCCTGGCACGTCTCGCGGCGCGTCCCCTGGCGCGTCCCGTGGCACGTCCATTGGCACATTCCGTAGCGCGTCCCCTTGGCACGTCCCGCGGAACGTCCCCATGGCACGTCTCTCGCGCGTCGCCTGGCGCGTCCGTTGGGACGTTCCGCGGCGCGTCCTCCTGGCATGCCCCCTGTTAATTAGCTCTGGGGCAGCCACTCTGTGCTCAGGCAGCTCGAGCTTGAGGTCCAGACCGGTTAGGTCATGACTCGGATGCAAAGGAGGACTCGATCCACAACGCTATAGAGCACACTCGCGGCATGGCACATCGCAAGTCAGCACGGCGCAGCACTGCACAGCCCTCGGCACGATACATCAAGATCGATACACTCAGCATTGCATTTGCCCGTCGCCCAATCAGGTGTCTTTGAAACGTTGCCATGCCTTACATTCTATACATTCTATAATCCTTTTCGGGTTCGTGGGTCGATCATGTTTATAGAAGCACGCAGACGTTATACGGATGGCGGGGGGTGGCCTTTTTCCCAAGGCGCGGTTGTTGCTGGGCAACTCGTGGAGCATTTTGGACCCCATTCCGTTCCATTTCTTCTATCGCTCGGGTAGGGGATCGACTACAGAAATGATTGACCCTTTAAGTGTTTTTCCGTCGAAGCTACGGCACATGCATGCGTCGAGTGTTCCGTAGATCCATTGAGGATTCTATGTGTTTTTTCGTGGACTCCACGAACAAATCAAGTTTGGGGTGTAAATCAATTCTGTATCGGTGGCATCCCAACATACTAATACTATGGGTGCGTCTCCCCCCCAGTGGCGACGCTCGCACCGAGAAATCTTGTAGTACATGCGTTGTGGTGGGTGTTTTTGGTTCTACTGTTCGGGAAATGCTACGTTACAATATGGGTCTACTATATATGATCCAGGGTCGAGGGTTCACGCCCCCCCCCCCTTCCAGATGGTATGGTCCCAGGATTCCTCGGGCCCCCCCCCCAGATGGTATGGTCCCAGAGACGACGACGACGACGACGACGACGACGACGGTGACGACGACGACGACGGCGACGACTACGACGACGGCGACGACGACGACGACGACCACGACGGCGACGACGCCGGCGGCGGCGGCGACGACGACGACGACGACGACGACGACGACGATGACGACGACGACGACGACGACGATGACGACGACGACGACGACGACGACGAGGACGACGAGGACGACGAGGACGACGAGGACGACGACGACGACGACGACGACCTCTGAACCACCACAGCACCACACCACATCCACAGGGGGGGGGAGGGGGGCACCGCAGCGCAGCACCACGCCACGCCCACTTCTGAACCACCACCACCACAGCACCACACCACATCCACAGGGGGGGGGGCACCGCAGCGCAGCACCCCGCCACGCCCACAGGGGGGGCCGGGGGGACCATCGCGCGGGGGGGTGGGGCCCAATCGCATCAGCATTGGGAGGGGGGAGGGCCCAAGCCCTGGACCATATATTCGGGTCGGACGCGCGCCTGCAAGGAGGATAAACAGTCGGGGCGCTGAAAAGGTAACCCTTTTCGTTTGGGATGGGCTCCGTGCTCCTTAGGTGTGTTACTGTTTGCCTTAGATTTACCTTCGGTTTTCGGAAATCGAAGTTTAACTCATTGATCAAATGGGGCCTCGTTCCTTACGAAGGGCTTGGGCGACCCGTCCTCCTCCTCCCTCCTCCTCCTCCTCCTCCTCCTCCTCCTCCTCCTCCTCCTTCCCCTCCTCCTCCTCCTCCTCCTCCTCCTCCTCCTCCTCCTCCTCCTCCTCCTCCTCTTCCTCCATCTCCTCCTTCCCTTCCTCCTCCTCCTCCTCCACCTCCTCCTCCTTCTCCTCGGGCCGCCTACGGCCCTGGGGGAAACCGTGCACCGGGGACGGGAGGGTGCACTGCGGCGTCGTTTGTGCATCTTGGGCCAGCTTTGGTCCCACTGCCTCTCTTTCCCGGGGACGGGGGGCGTGCACTGCTCGGGGATTCGCTGAGGGAGGACTGCCTCAAGATGGGGCTGGGGAGCGGGCCCAGCCGGATGCTCCCGCTCAGCGCGTTTCCCTTTTCCAGGGGCCGTCTGGAGCGATGTTCCCTCCCACCTTACCTTCTTGCCCCTGTCCCACCTCTGTGCCCCCCCGAATGGCGCGGCGCCGTCCTGGGTGCATCTTGGGTCTTCTCTGGTCCCCATGCCTCTCTCCCCCTCCTTCCTTGCAAATAGGAGGAGGAGGAGGAGGAGGAGGAGGAGGAGGAGGAGGAGGAGGGGGAGGAGGAGGAGGAG